TAAAGGAAATGTTTTAAAGTTACTTCAAAGTTACTTAAGTAACCGCAAACAGTTTGTTTATAGTAATGAAGTTAACCCATCTAATTTATTAAACATAACCTGTGGGGTTCCGCAGGGCTCGATATTAGGACCCCTTCTCTTTCTCATTTATATTAATGATCTTCATAAAGCTGAATGTTTTTAATATTCTATATTAAATATATATCAGCTGAATGTTTTTAATATTCTTTGTTTTATGTATAAATGTAAAACTAACTCTTCCCCAGTTTCTTTTCATAACTTATACACGCTGAAATTTAAAAATAAATACAATTTAAGAAATGATAATTTAATTCGTCAACCATTTTTTCAAACTAATTTTGGAAAATCTAGTATTTCTTTTCGAGGAGCTTTTCTTTGGAACAAAATAGTTTTAAAACATTTTAATTTTTCTCTGTTATTTTTCATTCAGAAATAAACTTAAAGAAATCATTTTGTCACATGATGATATATTGTCATATTTTTAAACGTTATTATTTTAGTTTATGTTTATTCAGTTTAATATTTATAAGAACATGCACTTAAATGTGATTAACTATATATGCACTTGACTTTATTTATATATTGAATTTTATGAAGTTTTAATTTACCAGCGGTTCTTGATGACAAGACCTAATGGTCTTCTGCGAGTCTCCGCGTTCTTTTTATGTTAACAAAAGTCTTAGTTTTATCTTTAATTTATTTCTCATTAAGTAACGTTTTTAACAATCTAATTGTAAATTTTTCTTAACGATCTAATTGTCAATTTTTCCTAACGATCTAATTGTAAATTAATTAATTTTTCTTTGAATATATTGTAATAAGACCAAAAAAAAAAGAAAAAAAAAGATCTTTTCTGACAAAAACGAAAAACTATGGTTTATAAAATCAAGCTTTAAAATGGTTTAAAAACTACCTTAATAACAGACAACAGTTTGTTAATATAGATAAAAAATGCAACTCAAGTTTTCTAAAAACAAAATGTGTTGTATCCCAACATTCCGTTCTTGCTCCTCTTTTGCTTTCTATATATGTAAAAGAAATTCCAAATGCCTCTAGTTTCTTTAAAACTATGTTTGCCAATGATACAAACTTATTCTATTCATCAAAGACAATCGTACCTCTTTAAAAAAAAAAAATGTTGAAAAAATATATATATTTGGTTTAAATCAAATATCACTCAATATAAAAAAAAAGCTCTGAATAGAAAGTTTTTAAGGGTTCTAATCGATGAACACATCTCCTGGAAACCTCACATAAACTATGTAAACACAAAAATATCGAAGAACATAGGTTTACTCTACAAGGTTTAGTCTAACACTTTTTTATTTTCATACATAGCAATCTTATGTATGCCAATATAGCATAGGGAGTACCCACAAATCTAAATTAAAACCACTTTACTAGCGTCAAAAACACGCTTTAAGACTAGTGTACAACAAAAACAATTTTAATCATACTCAAACCTTACTGGAATAAATGAACACACTAAATATATTTCAAATAAATATTTATCAAAATAGACTTTTCAAGTTTAAACATAAGTCTGGTTCTAGAACATTTTACAATACACTTTTTTAAAAAATAATATAAATAAATACAATACATGAGCAACAGGCAACGTTATGATACCGTTTTAAACAAGACTCTCTATATTCTCAATTACATGTCGTAGTCCCTGTTTATTTAACAAAATAATTTCCAGAAACCAATCATTAATAAATTTAAACAACGAACACTCTCTGAACAAAGCTAAAATCTACAATAATCAAATTAAACAACAATGAGGAATTTTTTTTAATTTTAATTAAAAATTTAAAAATAAAAATGTAAATATATATGAATAAATTTTTTAAATAACATTAAAAAAATATTTTTGGCGCCACGCAGTAAAAGTTAATGTTGTTGGTGAAACTTTATAGTTAATACGTTTAAGGGTAAGGGGTCGTCCATAAATTACGTCACGCAAGTTTTGACCATTTTTGACCCCCACCCCCCTTGTCACAAAATCGTAACACTTAAAAAGCAAGTTTTGTATGAGTCGTCACAAAACCACTAACCCCCTCCCCCGTTAGCGTTACGTATTTTATTGTCGACCCCTAACTAGTTACGCTATTTTTTTCCATTCTCTTTTCGTATAAAGGAGGATAAGTAATAAAAACAAAGAAAATCTCAATAGAAATATTTTATATTTCCCTGTGGGCTCAGCCTAGTTCAAGCACCTAGTTCAAGCATTGCTCAGCCTAGTTCAAGCACCACAGATTACCTGCATCACAGATTACCTGCATCACAGATTACCTGCATCACAGATTACCTGCATCACAGATTACCTGCATCACAGATTACCTGCATCACAGATTACCTGCATCACAGATTACCTGCATCACAGATTACCTGCATCACAGATTACCTGCATCACAGATTACCTGCATCACAGATTACCTGCATCACAGATTACCTGCATCACAGATTACCTGCATCACAGATTACCTGCATCTTAGATTACCTGCATCACAGATTACCTGCATCACAGATTACCTGCACCACAGATTACCTGCATCACAGATTACCTGCATCACAGATTACCTGCACCACAGATTACCTGCATCACAGATTACCTGCATCACAGATTACCTGCACCACAGATTACCTGCACCACAGATTACCTGCATCACAGATTACCTGCATCACAGATTACCTGCATCACAGATTACCTGCACCACAGATTACCTGCATCACAGATTACCTGCACCACAGATTACCTGCACCACAGATTACCTGCATCACAGATTACCTGCATCACAGATTACCTGCATCACAGATTACCTGCATCACAGATTACCTGCACCACAGATTACCTGCACCACAGATTACCTGCATCACAGATTACCTGCACCACAGATTACCTGCATCACAGATTACCTGCATCACAGATTACCTGCATCACAGATTACCTGCACCACAGATTACCTGCACCACAGATTACCTGCATCACAGATTACCTGCATCACAGATTACCTGCATCACAGATTACCTGCACCACAGATTACCTGCACCACAGATTACCTGCATCAAATATAAAAATAAATACTTTCTATATCACTTTTACTTTGTGTTTTATAAATGCTATATAAAAGTTTAATATATATATTATATATGCATAGATATATCAATATATATTTTTTTAAGTTTACATTTGTTGTCGTAGTAAATAAATTACTTTCAAAAACACAAACAAGGTTTCTGAAAGAAGATCGTATTGATCTTATTATTAGAAAGAATAATATATAATAGGATATTTAAACATTTTGACCAAAATAATATACTATTTACCAAACAATTTGGCTTTTAAAAAAAATATTTCAACCCAGCACGCAATTATTCAATTTGTTAGGAAAATCTTAGAGTCTTTCGAAAAAAACAATACACCCAAGGAGTCTTTATTGTTCTTTCGAAGGCTTTCGATACCGGTGACCATAAAATATTGCTTAAAATATTGCTCGAATACTATGGAATCAATAGCAGTATGCTAAAATGGCTTCATACTTACTTATCAAATAGAAAGTAGTTTGTTACCTCTAACAATGGCCTTCAAAGTGACTATGTTGAAATAACCTGTTTTGTTCTACAAGGCTCTATTATAGGTCCTCTTATGTTTTTAATTTATATTAATGATTTAAATAAAGCAGCTAATCTTCGGAGTATAATGTTTGCTGATGATACAAATTTATTCTTATCAAACAGTAATATTAATGAGCTGTGTTCTGATATGAATAAAGAACTTATGCCAAAAATTCTTATTGATGAGTTTGAAATAAAAAAGGAAACTTTGACTAGTTTTCTGGAGATTTATCTTGATGAGAATGTTACATGGAAACCGCATATTGACTACATTTGCATTAAAGTTTCTAAAATTATAGGAGTCCTCTATAAGTCAAGAAATTATTTGAACAAAACCATTTTAATCCAACTCTATTACTCATTTATACATAGCTATATTAACTATGCAAATGTTGCTTGGGAAGTACAAGCTAAAGTAAGTTGCGTACTCTTTATTATCGTCAAAAACACGCAATAGTTTGTTTTGAAAATCGACTTACGCATTCAAAACTTTTATTTAAAAATATTAAGTTATTTATATGTAATTTGAATAAATAATTTCTTTCAAGGCAACTTGGTTAGACAGCTTAAAAACAAGATTCAAGTCTGAAAGGTCTAAAATGCATAATGTTTCTTCAGTACAAGAACATAAAAAGTTTGGTACAACGCTAAAAAGAAAGGAATTTATATTGAATGTGCAATAACTCCAAAACAGAAACGGTCGGAGGTCGGTATCTTAGAAATCAGTTATTTAAATTCTGTATTACTTATTATATGGTTTCCAAAATACTGAAAAACAATATCGTTGCTTTAAATTTCATTAAATTTTGTTTAAGATGCAAACAAACGCTATGGAGGATTTGCTAAGGATTTGCTGTATTGCTAACAATGAAACCATTTCAAATGAGTTAAAAAAAAGTCTTCCTGATATGTCAAAGGTAAGAGATCGAATGGCAAAAACTTTTGTGCATAGGAAAATAATACCTAATTCTACCACAGCACAAATACTAGAAGAGTATCCAGCATTAAGGATTGCTACAGAGGTATGTTTTATCTTAAATTTATAAATCGATGGAGTAATAATAATTCATAGTTGATAAATTTTAATAATTATAATTATGATTTGTAGTTATTAGAAGAAGTAAATCTCATAACTGGAAATGAAGTAACCAATAAAATAAACCAGTTCTTTACTGGTGAAAGATCTATAAAAGTACTGAAGATGGCCAAGTCGGGGAAAAGAAATTCTAAAAATATTGACCTGGTGACTAACATTGTGGCTGCCATAGGATCTGAGTCAAATATCAATATAGAATGTTTATAATGTCTCTTTATTTAATATTCATTTTATGTTTATTTATTTAAAAAAGTGTATACATATTTTTAGTATAACAAATAAGAGCATCGATGTTGTGCTTGCCCGCCATGTTTGGTGAAAAAATTGAAAGATGGGTCGTGATAAATAAGGTCTCATAAGTGTTTTGAAGCTACTATTCTCGATGAGATTTTTTGATTTTTAAACTGTTTTTTTTTTTTTTACTTTTGTCGATATAAATGTAATATTTATATTGACAGACAATTCTGATTTTTTTAGGAATCAACTCTAAGCACACCAACAATAAGAATTACTTGCTCAAATCAAGCCAATATTCTGCATTTTGAAGATGTGCATATAGCGATCTACCTCGATGGTTTAGTTATTTGTAACGTTCTATCCATCGATGAAGCAATAAAAGTCTTGATAGCATCTTACTGGGTTTTTGAAATAGCCTTCGATCCGCGACTGCAGAAAACATTGACATTTCTAGCCAATTATATTTGTGGGCTTAGTGAGTACTGTGTCAGTCCACCGGTTCAGCGATTGTTGAACAAACTGTTGTAAACTTCTATTTGTAATAAAAGTAAAATAGCTTTTTTTTACATATGTTGTTATCACTGCGTCGTTGCACATGTGTTGTTATCACTGCGTCGTTGCACATGTGTTGTTATCACTGCGTCGTTGCACATGTGTTGTTATCACTGCGTCGTTGCACATGTGTTGTTATCACTGCGTCGTTGCACATGTGTTGTTATCACTGCGTCGTTGCACATGTGTTGTTATCACTGCGTCGTTGCACATGTGTTGTTATCACTGCGTCGTTGCACATGTGTTGTTATCACTGCGTCGTTGCACATGTGTTGTTATCACTGCGTCGTTGCACATGTGTTGTTATCACAGCGTCGTTGCACATGTGTTGTTATCACTGCGTCGTTGCACATGTGTTGTTATCACTGCGTCGTTGCACATGTGTTGTTATCACTGCGTCGTTGCACATGTGTTGTTATCACTGCGTCGTTGCACATGTGTTATCACTGCGTCGTTGCACATGTGTTGTTATCACTGCGTCGTTGCACATGTGTTGTTATCACTGCGTCGTTGCACATGTGTTGTTATCACTGCGTCGTTGCAAATTTTCAAATCTCATTAACAGGAAAAATAAATAACTTTAGGGTATAATAAAATACCTTAATAATATTCTACCTTAAAGGGTAGGATATATGATATACCTTTGAAGGTAGGCGAAATGGTAGATAAATATACCTTTTAAGGGTAAAATTGTCTACCTTAGTAAGTTATACCCTAGGGTGTTTTTTACTACCTTTTATAAAGGTAGACTAAAATACCTTATTATGTAGGGTATATTTCTCTACCTTAAGGGGTAGGATACGTGATATACCTTTAAAGGTAGAAATTCCTACCTTTTTTTTTTAGTGTGTAAAAGTATAATTTATTAAATAATACAATAAGTATAATTTATTAAATAATAAGTATAATTTATAAAATAATAAATATAATTTATTAAATAATAAGTATAATTTATAAAATAATAAGTCTAATTTATTAAATAATAAGTATAATTTATTAAACAATAAGTATAATTTATTAAATAATAAGTATAATTTATTAAAAGTATAAAAGTAAAACTCCAATATTTGTAAATGTAAAACTTTATGTTAAAAAAAAATTAAATTTATATATACAAAATGTATGTATGTATATGTGTATATATGTGTAAGTGTTTGTATTAATATATGTATGTGTATACATATAAATAAAAAATAAATAAATAAACATTTATTAGACCAGAACACATTGATCAAAACAGCAAATTTTCAGTATCTACGTCTTTATTGATTATCAAGAATTTGAAACGATTAAAAAGAAGAAAAATAGTGTTAGTTTATTAAAACTGAAGAACGAACATTTAAGATGATTTAAAAGAGGAAAAAAAATATTTATTTTTAAAAACTGAAGTTTGGATGTTTAACAACTAAAAATAACTGAGAATTTGAACAAATTTATAACCGGATATAAAAAACTCGAAATACAATTATACACAATACTCGAAAAAAGCTATCGAAAGTTGATTAAACGGATCTTTTTACCGAAATAAACAATTACCGATAAGACAATTTTTATTTACCGATCCTCTTAACGAAATAAATAAATACCAATACAATTTTTATTTACCGATAAGACAATTTAAGCAAGTAAACATTTTAAAAATGCATTAAATTTCAGAGGTGGTAAACATTTTATAATTTTGCACATTATATACAATAAAAGTACTATAAAAAATATAAAATTAGAATTAAAAAAATCTGATGCATCATCATATTATACATAATGAAATAATTAAATTTTTTAGTTTCTATTTGAGAAAAGTAAAAGTATTTATTTAAAATAAATAAATATAAAATGATAGGGAGGTATAAGGTAAAGAAAAAACATTGCTTTTTGTGTAATCATAATTTATGTAGTTGTAGTAATAAACTTCTCCTCAGAACCGCGTTTATTATTACCAGTGTTTTAAAGAAGCACAGTATAAATAATTAGTTTAT